TAACGATGCTGACTGACCTACTGGCTGGAAGGCCGTGTCTATCCGAGGCTGGGACATAGGTGGTGGCTGAAACGTATGCTGAGGTGCTTCAACTACATCTGGCTGTGGAACCGTGTGGAACCGTGCTGTCTGTACCGTGGGGCTTGCCTTTAGCGATGATAAGGATGCAGCAGGTTCTACTTGTCTTAGTAGGTTCACAGGTGTTCTGTTGTCCTGCCTTGCTGGTGCCAGGATGTTCAACTGATCCCTGGTATGACTGCTGTGTATATCCACACTGCTAGACTGTGGTAGGAATGCAGGAAGGGATTCTGCTCTATTATGTTGTTGAACATGACTGTGGGGCACGAGAGGGCTGCATGACCTACATGTTCGCTCTAGTTGCTCCACACGCTTGGTTAATGCACCACTGGTCTCCTTCATGGTAACTTGCATCTCATTCATTGCTTCTAAAACACTGCCCCATACTGCCTCCATCTTGTCCCATCTTCTTTTCTTATCCTTATAAGATTCTTCTGAGCTGCTGCTTGTTGATGACCCTGACTCCTCCGGATCAGGTAGGTCATGCTCATACTCCACCAGATGTCCCGGAAGCTTCCTGCTCCTGCGTGGACGGGGACTATGCTCATGACTTTTCTCCTGAGGAATGTTGTCTTGTGAAGATGTCATGTTGTTGATTCGACCAATGAGATCCGGCTCGAAGGACCAATTGTAGAAGACTGTGTGCGTTTAGATGCACTAGTTCCAGATATCTCATCAGTTGAATCTTCCTCGGTCAGAAGGAATATGCCAACTCCATCGGTGCAGCTCAAAAGGTTTATTAATGGAATAGAAGCAGGTACATTGGAGATGATGGTACAGATGATGAGGTTTATATTTGCTTTTCTTAGGGATATGTATATGGATGTGTGGTTATCTGAAACAGAATAAACAATAAATATGCATATTTATAGCTATGCAGGCAAAACATGTGCATATAGATGAAGGATGAAATTGGCTTGTAATACCAAATAAATCCACTGGAGGTCGCCATCACATCACACATGCATTATTGATCAAACGTAATAAGCATTTAACTGACGAAACCGTCGGAAAATATGAAATAAATGGCGATGCCCTCATTTACTAATAAAATGGAAATATATCTAGCAAAGTGTAACAAAGAACTTGAGTTATTATAAGTATATTCTTGCATTGTCAGTAACCAGAGAAACTAAAGAACAATTTAACCTCCTGGGTTAATAACTGACAGAAAAAAACACAATATCGGACTTAAAATGTATACTTACATCGTAAAGAACGCACACAGGTTTCATACACACTGGATTGAAGTAGGATTAATGGTGGATGCTATTTTGTGCCACCGAACCACCCAGAAGCATGGAAAACACAGCTTATTCAGCTACGTAAAATTAGAACTACAAGATGAACAGATGCATCATGGGTAATGTGGTACTAAAGAAACAGACGGACTTTTAACAATTATAATATTATTGTAATATGTGATTAAAATGAGATCTATGGCGCCTCCTGTTCATTCTGACAGCAGGTGGTCCGATCCAAGATGGCCGCCCTCGTCGGCCAGCATCCAATGCGGCGTCTACCTATAAAATGTCTAACATTGATGCAGGTTTTATTTTCTGCAGCCTTTCCTCTCAGTCTCTCTAACCCAGTGGTTCTCAAACTTTTTCTGTCATTCCCCACTTTGGACAAGGGGGAATTTTCAAGCCCCGCCTGTCCCCATCGCCCCAACACAATGCTAATGAAATATTCAACAATCTTAAAATGTTCCAATTTTATTGAAGTAACAAGTAGTATCTAAATACAAATCTACATCAAATAACAGCAAGCTCAAAAATAAAGAAAATAAAAATGCAGCTGTGTCAAAATTTGTATCAAGCTCAAAGATAGAAAAAATTAAAGTGCCACTCTGCAATCTGTTAATAAAAGAAAAGAAGTGAAATCCATCTGGCAAGACAGGTCTATTTATCCCTGCATTAGTGGCTGCAATGAGCCTGTTTTGCATTGCAGTTTCTCAAAACGGGGTTGCAGGCTTGATACTGCCACTCTCAAGTCATGCTCAATGTTCTGCTGAGATCTGTATTTTGTTTTCATTGAAGCAGCAGCTGAAAAGCCCATCTCACAGAGATATGATGTGGCAAAGGGAAGAAGAATGCACACAGCTCTCTGCCCGATGAGTGGATACTCGCTCTCCACTCCTAACCAGAAACATGAACATGTGGCTGTGTGAATCAAACGCCGTTATTTATTTAAGATAAAATATTTCAAATTCAGTTATTTATGATCAACCTGCGCCGTCAATCCCGGCGCATGTGCGCTTTATTTGCAGTCTGGACGCTAAAGTTAAACATGCTGTGTCTCTGCTCTGACTGCAGCGCTGATAGGGACTCCTGCGATAGCGGGGGAGAACGGGGTGGGGACGGGGGAGGCGCCCCACGGCAGCACCTGCCGCTGGAGGACAAGAAAAGGAACGATACGTGCTTTCACGTAAGAGTCTCCAAAAGGCGCTAGATTTGTTTTTTTGAAAAAGAGTCGCTGGAGGGGTCTGAAATATAGCGACAAAGTCGCTGAGTTGGCAACACTGGGGCGCGAAAGTTTATTCTGTTACAAATAATATGCCGACGTCACGTCAATCATTATTTTGGCACTTCAGTTCCAGGGGAAATTTTTCTCATATCTAATGTTCTTTTAATTAGACTGCATGTAGGCTAGTAATGATTACTTTGTGGGTTTGATTGGTCTAAAAAGCGGCAACATACAGCTATAAGGACAGTTTGCTCTCACACGTTCTACATTTATAGTCACACACACACACACACACACACACACACACACACACCGGAACTTGGCGCGCCCCACCTGTCACGTCTCAATTCCCCACCAGTGGGTCGCGCCACACACTTTGAGAACCGCGGCTCTAACCTGTGCTGGTCCTTTGAACACCAGGCGTCTATGGCAAGCCATTTGTCGCTTTATTCTGGACAACATTTATGATAAATTTGAACTTTATTTAAAGGATGTTTTAATTTGGAATCAAAATATTAAAAAAATAACTTTCTGACCATTTCTTCTTATGTAATCTTTTGCTACTGTTGGCCAGGTTTTATATCCACAAATATAAAATTATTAGGATTAAACCCTCATCTATCTCTTTTTTTAAAGGAAGCAACAACTTATTTTTCTACATTATCCTCCTCTAATAACAAAAAGGCTGTTAAAACTTTATCTTTGTACGCTAAATTCAAAGTATTTATGTAATCCCTTTACATGCTTCTATGTGTTGCTTTACTTAATCTCTATTATTATTTTTACTTATTTTAGTTATTTTTATGTATAATTTTTTGTTCAGACCCTTTGCGATTCTTCACAGGAAAATGTTTTCCTTACTTTTTGTTTTATAAAGAATTTTCAAATAAAGTTTATTAAAATAAAAAGAAAAAAATATATATAATATCTATGATTTTTTTTTTCTCAGAGATTACAGTTCATTGATGTTTAGCCTACGCCCCCTGCTGGTCACTAAGATAATAGCCCAGATTCATTCACCGTTAAATGTACTGTCATAAATGTGGCCTTATTTTAACATATTTTCTATGTTTTGAACTGAGGATTGTTTTTTTGGTTCCTCTCTAATATTTTAAGCTTTTTTTCTAATTCAAACAATTCTTACTTCAGCCTGATTAGCTCAACATCTGTTATCCATGTTATGGGCTGTTATCTGAACATGGGCGGTTCCAGATGGGGGCCGTCAGGGGCCAGTGGCTCTGCAGACCTTTTATGGCCCCTCTACTGAAAACATAACCTGCAAAAATTTAAATGCAAGTATTTTTTTTCTTGAAATAGGTGTAAATTTACTTGATTTAAGCAGATAGGGAAGAAAATCTGCAGATGGAAATGATTAATTGTTTAAAGAAAAAACAACTTATTTTGAAGGCAAAGTTTCTGATTATCTTGCCTTATGGAACCAAGTCTTCCTTCCTTTGATCATCTTATTTATCTATGCTTCTTTTTTTAAAACTGAAATCTGATCTTCTTTTGTTTCATTTTTTTTTTGTGTTTAGATTTTATTCTTTGCTCCCATAAAAAATTATTGGCCCCAGCGGAAACTTTCCAAAACCACAACTGTATCTAAATTTTAAACCAAAAATGATTTTTAAAAATTAAATCTGTCCAAAATTGATATTTGTGATCAACTTAACTGATATCAACCCCATAATTACAAGAATAGATATCTGAAAAATAGAAATTATGAAAATACTTCTTTTAAACAATTAAAATAACATCCATAATAAATCAAATCATCATAAAAATATTCTAAATTAAGATTTTACAATCCATATGTTTTTGTGTAATCGGTGTTCTACAGAGTAAGACCTCCTGTCAATTTGAGCTCGGAATAACCTACGCTGAAGCTGCAAAAAGGATCCCATCTCAGTCAGAAAACCCCAAACCTACAGTTCAACACACAGCAAATTCCAAACCTCTAGAGAAATCTCTAAAAATTGATGAAGACTCACTTATTGTTAAAAAGACAAATTTTGTTCTTTTCATGGTAGAAGTTATTAATTGTACTGCACAGACAACAAAAAAAACGGAAAAAATCAAAATAATAGTGAAGGCTGCAGAAAAATATCTGGACATTAAAGATTTGAACTGGGAGATGGTTGGAAGTATGATGGGAGGACCGATGGGACCATCAGAAACTGGCAGAGTTAAGATGACCTAGAGTAAATTAAAATTATATGGGCAAATGTGATTTAGTATTATGTTGGTTTAAGTTACACAGGTTTTTTTTTTTTTTTTTTTTTTTTTTTTTTTTTTTTTTTTTTTTGGGGGGGTGAATCGTTTCCTGTTTTCTTGCTTTACTCCATATCAGTTGGTGGCGGTAATGCACAATTCACAAGTCTGCCAACCGCCATAAAATCCCATAAGAAGAAGAAGAAGACCTCCTGTCCATCAGTTCCAGCTCTGTAGCTGTAGTCCTACTGACTTCCGGGACAGCTCAGCGCCAGTCCACGCAGCAGAGTTTCTCCCCCCGATGCTCCAGGGGGCTCCTGCTCGCCCTCCGCGGACCCTCCACTCAGCTCCGCTCACTTTCATCCGTCAGAGCCGCCCTGCCTCAGACACCAGGACCCGCCGGAGGTTCCGAACACTGGCCGGTTCGGAACCGATATCGGAGCTAACCCAGGAGGCTAGCGGCGTGCGTTAGCAGTGTGGGCTGTGGGGGTGAAGGTTCGGTCCGGACGGGGCAGAGCGCAGCATGGCGTCTGTGAGCAGCAGTAAGACCGGGGAGGCTCCAAACCGGACTCAGAATGAAGGTGAACATAGTTCGGATTAAAACACTGAATTCTCATTGAACCTTATCAGCCTTTTAAACTGGTTGTACCAGTGAGAGCTGCAGCTAACTGCAGCTAAATCTACCAGTTTGGGCCGAATAAAAAAACTGGTTATCGGTGAAACAAAGCCGAACTATCAGTTGCTATGGTGACTAATTAATATTAGTAGAAGAAGTCGATATTTAAAGGTGAAAAGCAGCTTTGATGTAAATTCATGTTTTTTTAGATGAAGTTTGGCAGAGATCCTGGTTTCTCTCATTTAGCTGCTGACTTGTGCAGTTGTACAGGTGAAGGTTCTGTTAAACATCCATTCCGCCTTAAGTACTGCGGCTTTAAGGTGGAATGAGCGGCGACGGCTCAGTGAATGTCACCTGGTGACGTGGAGCTTTGACTCAGGTGTGTCAGCGGCCCCTGAACACATGGGGGGGGGGGGGGGGATGAACTTATTGTGCTACGGAAGAGGAAGTGAACTGATTTTTACATTTTATTTGAGTATAATATGCAGAAAACTAGTGATCTATATATTATATTAATTATTTATAATAGTATTAATCTCTATGCTTATTCAGTAGAAACCCATGTCCTGTATTTATGGAACCATTATTTATCCACCACTTGCTGCTATTGTACCCGTGCCTGTGTAATGCCAATAAAGTTGAATCTAATCTAATCTAAAAAGTCTTTTTTTCTCAGAATTCTGACTTTAATCTCTGAATTCTGTCAGCTAACAAACATGTTAGCATCAAGCCGTAGCCATGTCTGTTTTAGAGACTAGATCTCTTGTTTTAAGGTGTTCCTGTTCCTCCCAAACAACTCACATGTTTGTCAGTGAAGCTGAGAGCTCCACCTCTCTGCCTTCATGATGCCCATCTACATTAAGATCCACAATTCTGAGATTTAAGTCAGAATTCTGACTTTTTTCTCATATTATTTTGAAATAATATTTAAAAATCAGTTAACTTTTTTTCAGTGGCCCTAATCCCCTTCCATATGAATCTGACCCGGTCCTCCCTGCATGTGTGCTGGGTTCAGGGTGAAATGGGTTCCAGAGAAGCAGAATTAAAAACCGAAAAATGTTATTTGCTTTAAGAACAAAAAACTCAGAGGAGATATTTGGCTAAAACGTTAAACATTCAGTGAAGCCTGTAGATTTAGTTAATGATAGACTCTGTGTCTGCACCTTGAAGCTCTCTGGTTCTTTTTCCTGAAAATGTTTTTTTTTTTTTGGGAAAAACTCTTTAAATAACACGTCTTAACTTATATGAATTAAATAACCAGAAGAGATGACACCTGATTCTGATAGCAATTGTAATCTTTAGGTCAGATTATACTTCTGCAGCCGCACACATCAACTGTTGCTTGTTTCTGGTGGAGAACCAGTTTTGCTGGTTTGCTTCTGCACCATCAGTCTGGAATTTCTAGGGATGCACAGCAGTTTCCCACCAAAGCGCTAGGGTTAGCCTATTCGAAAAGTCGCGAGAACTTCTGCGGCACCGGCGGGAGTGTTTATTTTCCTAAACAATAATGGCGCGTCTGCAGGATATCATGGTCACAGAGATGGATTTTGCGAGACATTGCAGAGGAAAAGGTTCTGTTAATGGAGTTGGCAAAAAGACCGATTAACCTTTCATCATAGTTTTCTATTGTAGTTGTTTCTCGGTTTTTAAAAATGGCGCGCCGCGGCACCGAATGGAGAAGCACGACCACACAGACAGCCGGAAAGGCATACTAAGGACCAATCACAGCTGCTTTTTGTCTACGCACATCCGCTTGAGGTCCGACGCGTAGTCAGGATTTTTTTGAGGTGCGTGACGACGGGTTGCAGAACCTCTGCGCGGGGGGTGTGGTCACGCACAGAGACAGATTTGACGGTGCAGAGGATATGCCTCAAAAGCATAAATTGGACTTTACTCAGATCAGAGAAGTTGCTTAGAGTTACAGAAGGCAGCTGCTCACCTCTCAGGAAGTGGCCCCGATTAACAGTTAAAAATTTTATAAAATTTTATAAATCCCCAATCTGCCACATCATCACATCAAACACGTTAGCAGATGTGGAGACATCCATGGCTCCAGCCTTATCACAATATTACACTTTGTTCTTACGTGAAGGACGCCGCTCTCATTCCATTCCCAAATAATTTTCCATGGACACAATGAAGATTATAACTGTATATCTGGACAGATAAACTGTCTTAATTAGATAAACTATTGGAGAAAACATCAGTTCTGACACAAAACAGGCAGCTAATATTAAAGTCGTAGGGAAATCATATTTAAATGTCAAATCATTCTGGCTTAAACATGTATATAAATGTACTCTTTATCTATATTGTCCAAAAAAGTTTGAAAATTTATATTTTTATTAAAAATCCTGTCTTAAAATCACCTAAATTCGGCCAATCATATGTCAACGGTCATCTGTCAATCAAATTTTTCCAGTCATAGCATCTTGATTCATCTGTTGCACATCCAGTTAGTCACAGTCAGAGAAACAGGACTACACTGAAAAACAGGCCAAGCTCCAACATCTAGAAACAAAGGTGTTGATGGCAGCAGCACAGCTGATATTTCTCTCCAAGAAAAGAGCATAAGGAGAGAGCAGAACGTTAGAGATTGAACTAACAGATTCTGCAGAGTGGGAGAATAGAAATAGAATGATGAAAAAGGGGTCCCTATGTCCTCCAGCAGTCTAAGCCTATAGCAGCAGAACTATAGAGATAGCTCAGGATAAGCTGAGCCACTCTAACTAGAAGCTTTATAAGTAGACATTAAATGCTTGTAGCGTGGTTATCACCCCCCTGTTTCCTTTTTCCAGCTGTAGCTAACAGGAAGTTGAAGTACATCAGTCTGGCGGTTCTGGTGGTCCAGAACGCTTCGCTCATCCTCAGCATCCGCTACGTGCGCACGTTGCCGGGGGACCGGTTCTTCACCACGTCGGCCGTGGTCATGGCCGAGGTTCTGAAGGTGACGACGTGTCTGCTGATCATCCTGCTGCAGAAGAGATGTAAGTCCAGGTGGGGGGTGGGGTTCCAGGTGTCTCTGAGCGACTTGGTTCTGATGCTGACGTCTTTTTGCAGTCAACCTGAAGGAGACCGCCTGCTTCCTGCTGGACTCCGTCGTCTTTCAGTACAAAGACACTCTGAAGCTGGCGGTGCCGTCCCTCATCTACACGCTGCAGAACAACCTGCAGTACGTGGCCATCTCCAACCTGCCGGCGGCCACCTTCCAGGTCAGACCAGAACCGCTCCAAACCATTTCCTTCCCCTTTAAGACACTGCAGCGTGCGTCTAATCACATGACTCCACTGAGCCAATCAGAAGTTTAAACAAAGAGAATGGTGGATTAGCCCAGTGAAGAAGCATCTAACCCCCAGATTTCATACAGGTGCTGGTCATAAAATTAGAATATCATGAAAAAGTAGATTGATTTCAGTAATTCCATTTAAAAAGTGAAACTTGTATATTATATTCATACATTACATACAAACTCATATATTTCAGATGTTTATTTTGTTTAATTTTGATGATTACAAATGACAACAAATGAAAATCTCAAATTCATCATATCAGAAAATTAGAATATTGTGAAAAGGTTCAAAATTGATGGCCCCTGGTGCCACACTCTAATCAGCTAATTAACTCAAACCACCTGCAAAAGCCTTTAAATGGTCTTTCAGTCTAGTTCTATAGGCTACACAATCATGGGGAAGACTGCTGACTTGACAGTTGTCCAAAAGACGACCATCGACACCTTGCACAAGGAGGGCAAGACACAAAAGGTCATCGCTAAAGAGGCTGGCTGTTCACAGAGCTCAGTGTCCAAGCACATTAATAGAGAGGCGAAGGGAAGGAAAAGATGTGGTCGAAAAAAGTGTACAAGCAAGAGAGATAACCGCACCCTGGAGAGGATTGTGAAACAAAACCCATTCAAAAATGTGGGGGAGATTCACAAAGAGTGGACTGCAGCTGGAGTGAGTGCTTCAAGAACCACCACACACAGACGTATGAAAGACATGGGTTTCTGCTGTCGCATTCCTTGTGTCAAGCCACTCTTGAACCACAGACAGCGTCAGAAGCGTCTTGCCTGGGCTAAAGAGAAACAGGACTGGACTGCTGGTGAGTGGTCCAAAGTCATGTTCTCTGATGAAAGTAAATTTTGCATTTCCTTTGGAAATCAAGGTCCCAGAGTCTGGAGGAAAAGAAGAGAGGCACTTCATCCACGTTGCTTGAAGTCCAGTGTAAAGTTTCCACAGTCAGTGATGGTTTGGGGTGCCATGTCATCTGCTGGTGTTGGTCCATTGTGTTTTCTGAGGTCCAGGGTCAACGCAGCCACATACCAGGAAGTTTTAGAGCACTTCATGCTTCCTGCAGCTGACCAACTTTTTGGAGATGCAGATTTCATTTTCCAACAGGACTTGGCACCTGCACACAGTGCCAAAGCTACCAGTACCTGGTTGAAGGACCATGGTATCCCTGTTCTTAATTGGCCAGCAAACTCTCCTGACCTTAACCCCATAGAAAATCTATGGGGTATTGTGAAGAAGAAGATGCAATACACCAGACCCAACAATTCAGAAGAGCTAAAAGCCACTATTAGAGCAACCTGGGCTATCATAACACCTGAGCAGTGCCACAGACTGATCGACTCCATGCCACGCCGCATTGCTGCAGTAATACAGGCCAAAGGAGGCCCAACTAAATACTGAGTGCTGTACATGCTCATACTTTTCATGTTCATACTTTTCAGTTGGCCAACATTTCTATAAATCCTTTGTTTTTATTGGTCTTCAGTAATATTCTAATTTTCTGATATGATGAATTTGAGATTTTCATTTGTTGTCATTTGTAATCATCAAAATTAAACAAAATAAACATCTGAAATATATGAGTTTGTATGTAATGTATGAATATAATATACAAGTTTCACTTTTTAAATGGAATTACTGAAATCAATCTACTTTTTCATGATATTCTAATTTTATGACCAGCACCTGTATTGTCTGTCACCGCGCCGCTCGCGTACGTCGTGCATCGTATTTCTCTGTCATGTTAACCAATAAGAATTGTTCCACATCCTCCGCACGTCACCGTCAACGTACGTCTTCTCTGTCTTTCATCGTCAAAATACGGAGCCGAGATATTCGTTACTCGACTCTGCTCCAGCCAGGTCAAGATCTACAACTGCAGTCTTACCAAACAGGAAAAAGAACATCTAGAAGATCCAGTTTGTCAAATTAAAATATAACGACAGATTGGTAACTACAAATTAGAGTATAATTCTTATCTATTCCCCAAAACTAAGAACGTTTAATTAAATGATTGGATGCAAACTATTGGTTCTTCAACATACCAGGAAACAGATTACTCATCTCCATCAGCCAGACGTCTTTTAACTCTAGAACCAACATTTCTACGCTGTCAGACCTCAGAACCCGAAAAGATCCGTGGATTAAAGCTTTTATGAAGCTGATCCTTAAGAAGCTTGCTAAGAAGCTTCTAGCATCAACGTTGGAGCCAAAGATGATTGCAGCTCGTACCTCATGGTTCTAATAGGCTCCTCCCCCTTCAGGTGACGTACCAGCTGAAGATCCTCACCACGGCGCTCTTCAGCGTCCTGATGCTCCGGAAGTCTCTGTCCAGGGTCCAGTGGGTCTCTCTGCTGCTGCTGTTTGGAGGCGTCGCCATCGTTCAGGTACGTCCGCTTCTCCAAACACCGACACTGGTCAAAAGTATTCACACCCCTGAAGGTTCAATTCAATTCTATTCAGTTTATTTCTATAGCTCCAATTCACATCCTGTCATCTCAAGGCACTTTCCAGTTCACCAGATCATCCAGTCAGATTGATACAATGTTTTCTATCTAAGGAAACCAGTCGATTGCATCGACTCATTGACTCTTCAGCAATCCCTCACACTAAGCATGCTTGTAGCGACAGTGGAGAGGAAAAACTCCCTTTGAACAGGAAGAAACCTCCAGCAGAACCAGGTTCCCACATTTCTGATAAAAACTGATGTGCTACAGCAGGCTAATGTGGCTTAGCTGATGGTCACTAGTTTAGCTAATGTTGCTAGTGTAGCTTAGCTAATGTTGCTGAGATTGCATAGCTTAGCTAATGTTGCTGAGATTACATAGCTTAGCTAATGTTGCTAGTGTAGCTTAGCTAATGTTGCTGAGATTACATATCTTAGCTAATGTTGCTAGTGTAGTTTAGCTAATGTTGCTGAGATTACATAGTTTAGCTAATGTTGCTAGTGTAGCTTAGCTAATGTTATTGAGATTACGTAGCTTAGCTAATGTTGCTAGTGTAGCTTAGCTAATGTTGCTGAGATTACATAGCTTAGCTAATGTTGCTAGTGTAGCTTAGCTAATATTGCTGGGATTACATAGGTTAGCTAATGTTGCTAGTGTAGCTTAGCTAATGTTATTGAGATTACATAGCTTAGCTAATGTTATTGAGATTACATAGCTTAGCTAATGTTGCTGAGATTACATAGCTTAGCTAATGTTGCTGAGGTTACACAGCTTAGCTAATGTTGCTAGTGTAGCTTAGCTAATGTTGTTGAGATTACATAGTTTAGCTAATGTTGCTGAGGTTACATAGCTTAGCTAATGTTGCTGAGATTACACAGCTTAGCTAATGTTGCTAGTGTAGCTTAGCTAATGTTGTTGAAATTACATAGCTTAGCTAATGTTGCTGAGGTTACATAGCTTAGATAATGTTGCTGAGATTACATAGCTTAGCTAATGTTGCTAGTGTAGCTTAGCTAATGTTGTTGAGATTACATAGTTTAGCTAATGTTGCTGAGATTACATAGCTTAGCTAATGTTGCTGAGATTACATAGCTTAGCTAATGTTGCTGAGATTACATAGCTTACCCAATGTTGCTGAGTTTACACAGCTTAGCTAATGTTGCTAGTTTAGCTTAGCTAATGTTGTTGAGATTACATAGTTTAGCTAATGTTGCTGAGATTACATAGCTTAGCTAATGTTGCTGAGATTACATAGCTTAGATAATGTTGCTGAGGTTACATAGCTTAGCTAATGTTGCTAGTGTAGCTTAGCTAAAGTTGCTGAGATTACATAGCTTAGCTAAAGTTGCTGGGGATTGCATAGCTTAGCTAATGTTGCTAGTGTAGCTTAGCTAATGTTGCTGAGATTACATAGCTTAGCTAAAGTTGCTGAGGTTACATAGCTTAGCTAATGTTGCTAGTATAGCTTAGCTAATGTTGCTAGTGTAGCTTAGCTAATGTTGCTAGTATAGCTTAGCTAATGTTGCTAGTGTAGCTTAGCTAATGTTGCTGAGATTACATAGTTTAGCTAATGTTGTTAGTGTAGCTGAGCTAATGTTGTTAGTGTAGCTTAGCTAATGTTGCTAGTGTAGCTTAGCTAATGTTGCTGAGATTACATAGTTTAACTAATGTTGCTGAGATTACTTAGCTTAGCTAATGTTGCTAGTGTAGCTTAGCTAACGTTGCTGAGATTACATAGCTTAGCTAAAGTTGCTGAGATTGCATAGCTTAGCTAATGTTGCTAGTGTAGCTTAGCTAATGTTGCTGAGATTACATAGCTTAGCTAAAGTTGCTGAGGTTACATAGCTTAGCTAATGTTGCTAGTGTAGCTTAGCTAATGTTGCTGATATTACATAGCTTAGCTAATGTTGCTGAGGTTACATAGCTTAGCTAATGTTGCTAGTGTAGCTTAGCTAATGTTGCTGCTATTACATAGCTTAGCTAAAGTTGCTGAGGTTACATAGCTTAGCTAATGTTGCTAGTATAGCTTAGCTAATGTTGCTGATATTACATAGCTTAGCTAATGTTGCTAGTATAGCTTAGCTAATGTTGCTGATATTACATAGCTTAGCTAATGTTGCTGAGGTTACATAGCTTAGCTAATGTTGCTAGTGTAGCTTAGCTAATGTTGCTAGTGTAGCTTAGCTAATGTTGCTGATATTACATAGCTTAGCTAAAGTTGCTGAGGTTACATAGCTTAGCTAATGTTGCTAGTATAGCTTAGCTAATGTTGCTAGTGTAGCTTAGCTAATGTTGCTGATATTACATAGCTTAGCTAATGTTGTTCTTTATGTTGTAGTTTGTTGTTGTTGTTTGTGGTATCAGGTGATTCTGAGCCGTCTGCAGTCCAGCGGCTCCAGCTGATGGTTCGCTGGTCGTCTCCTTGCAGGTGCAGCAGGAGGGAAACAAAGAGGCGGCGGTGGCTGACTCCTCCAGCCAGAACTACATGGTGGGTCTGGTCGCCGTGGTGATCAGCTGCCTGTCGTCAGGGTTTGCCGGCGTTTACTTTGAGAGGATCCTGAAGGGGAGCTCTGCGTCGGTGTGGATGAGGAACGTGCAGCTGGGGATCTTTGGCACGGTGCTCGGCCTGCTGGGATTGTGGTGGAACGACGGGCCCGCCGTGTCTGAGCACGGCTTCCTGTTTGGCTACACGGGCATGGTCTGGTGCGTCATCTTCAACCAGGCGTTCGGCGGGCTCCTGGTGGCCGTCGTGGTCAAGTACGCCGACAACATCCTGAAGGGCTTCGCCACGTCCTTCTCCATCATCGTCTCCACGGTGATGTCCATCTACCTGTTCAGCTTCCATGTGGACCTGCTCTTCTCCGCGGGGGCGGGGCTCGTCATCGGTGCCGTCTACATGTACAGCCTCCCCAAGCCTGCGTCCAGCGGGCCTTTTCCCCCAAACTCCACCTCTTCCTCTGCGTCTGCGGAGCCCCTGAGGACAGACAGAGGCGGCGAAATGGAGGAGTTTCTGCCAAAGTCAGTTCTGGTGAAGTGATTCTGTCTTTCTCTGGCGCCACCTGGTGGTCCTTTCCCCTCTAATCCAACTAATCAATTAGCGGGCTGCTGCTGCGTCTCCTCCTCCGTCCTCCTTCCCTCTGGGTACTAACCGCTGCTCCTCCTCTCTTCCTCAGAGCTCCTCCCTCGGCCGGCAGCGGCACAGACTAATTCCTGGAAGCAGGGCAGGAAGGCGCAGCAGCGCCTCCTGCTGTTTTCTTGCCTTAAAACTCTTTACTAACCGAAAGAAAGAAGCACCTTGACCTGACTGGGCTCCTGCTTTCTAACAGCTGATTGGATGGTCTGTGTGGGCGTCTGCGCAGACGGCGCCCCCTGCAGAGCGGTGCTGTTCGGTGCCTTTTCCTCTCGTCTGTACAGAAGCCATGCCGTCACAGTTCTCGGCTCGGATTCTGGGCCGAGCTGGTTGTTTGGAGCGTCTTTTATTTCCTGACGTTGGTCGTTTGGATCGGGGTCACGGGGGTCACGTGTCTGTTTGCTGCTTCTCCGTTTCACTTTTTGAAGAACTTTCACTTTTTTGTCTCCACCCCAAGAAGAACTGAGATGCCTCTGAAAATCAGAAGAGGTTAACAAACCGGAAGGATCTCCATGGAAACCTTCTCAGTTACGTGTATGGAGTAAAATTTGTTCCATTATTGTTTTCGAGCAAAGAGGACACCATGAAAATGGAAATTAAAAAAATTAAATGCAATCCATAAATAAAAACTGGGAAAAACTTGATTAAAAAAGCTTTTGAGAAAAAATTTACTGTTTTCTTAGATTTTATTTAAAAAACTTTTTTTTTCAAATATTTTTCTATATTTAATTTGTTCAAACATTTTTTAGATTTTCTTTCTTTTTTAGAATATTACAAATTGGGTTCTTTCTTTTTAAATTGTGTTTTACAGAAGAGACTTTGGACAATAACATTTAAAAAAACAGAATATTGATTAAAAAAATTTTTGAAAAAGAAATCTCTCTTTGAAAAAGTTTCTCTCAAAACTGTTGTTTGATAAAACTGTTTTTCCAAGTTAAATTTCCCGACTGCATTTTTCTTTTCAGTTTTCTTTCGTTTCAACAATACTGGAACATAATTTACTCCATATATTGGAACGCAGAGATGGAATATAATTTTTTAGAAAATATTTATGGGAATTTCTGCTGAACATCAACATTATAATGGAAATCATCAACATGAAAGCAGGAACTGGGTGGAGTTAACAATGTAGCCCCGCCCACACTCAACAGGCAGCTGCTCCTCCTGCTGGTAGAAGCTAGTACTGCATCCTGGTTTAGCGAAACCTAAAGGTTTCCATACTCACGTTGGTTTATTAAAGACAAGTCCAGTTTGTATCCAATTCCTTAAGAAATCTCCAGGTTGTTTTCCGGGTTCCTTCCTGTTAGAACCTCCCATCGGCTCTCAGGTCGCCTTCATGTGGAGATAAAAAAAATATAAAAATAAAAAGCTAGATCATCAGAACTTTAAAGCAGTGAAGGAGGTTTTCATGTAGGACTGTGTGTTTTTCTGACTGTGGGAGTGGGTGTGTGTTTTTTGGTTGGGACTTTTTGTTTTGGATGAGTTAGCAGGAAGCTTCAGGCATCAGACTGCAGAGCCGGTTTAGTTCTCAGAACGGATGGACCTTCACCGCACGTTGCTGCAGGTGTCTTTGGGACAGGAAGTTCTTTTGGATTCTGATCAGATAAAGAGGTTTATCTGGGTATCTGATTTATTTTTTGGTTCTGTTTCTGGAAAATAAAAACTTGAATAGAAGCTGCAGCTTTGAGGTGTTTTCAGTGATCCGAAGCAGACCCTACCCCCCCTCTGATGGTTGACATTCTCAGCAGGAAAGGTTCAATAGGAGTTCTGTTGGCTTGTTTGGTGCCTGAGCTGCAGCAGACGAAGACCAGAGCAATGATGGAAACGAGTTTAAGTTATTAAACTTAAGTTATTTTATTTACAGATAAAATGGTCAGCCTTTATCTATGGAAGAAAACAGGTCTCCTTGGTATCTGCCTTTTTTAACGCCGAATTTTAAACACTCAATTTTTATCTGGTGAAAATTCAGCTGCAAAAAAATCCCTGCAAAAAATTCAGCTGCAAAAAAAAAATCGGCTGCAAAAATTTCAGCTGCACAAAAAAAAAAAAAAAAAGAAAAATTCAGCTGCAAAAAAAAAATAAAAAATTCAGCTGCAAAAAAAAAAAAAAATTCGGCTGCAAAAAATTCAGCTGCAAAAAAAAAAAAAAAAATCAGCTGCAAAAAATTCAGCTGCAAAAAGAAATTCAATATCAAAAAATTCAGCTGCAAAAAAAACGAAAAAAAATCCGGCTGCAAAAAATTCAGCTGCAAAAAACAAATTCAGCTGCAAAAAAAACGAAAAAAATCCGGCTGCAAAAAATTCAGCTGCAAAAAAAACGAAAAAAATCCGGCTGCAAAAAAAAAATCGGCTGAAAAAATTTCAGCTGCACAAAAAAAATCGGCTGCAAAAATTTCAGCTGCACAAAAAAAAAAAGAAAAAGAAAAATTCAGCTGCAAAAAAAAAATAGAAAAATTCAGCTGCAAAAAAAAAATAAAAAAATCAGCTGCAAAAAAAAAAAAAAAAATTCAGCTGCAAAAAAAAAAAAAATTCGGCTGCAAAAAATTCAGCTGCAAAAAAAAAAAATCAGCTGCAAAAAATTCAGCTGCAAAAAAAACGAAAAAAATCCGACCAAAAAATTCAGATGCAAAAAAAAAAATTCAGCTGCAAAAAAAAAGAAAAAAATCCGGCTGCAAAAACTTCAGCTGTAAAAAAAAAAATTCAGCTGCAAAAAAAAAATTCAGCTGCAAAAAAAATTCAATATCAAAAAATTCAGCTGCAAAAAAAACGAAAAAAAATCCGGCTGCAAAAAATTCAGCTGCAAAAAACAAATTCAGCTGCAAAAAAAACGAAAAAAATCCGGCTGCAAAAAATTCAGCTGCAAAAAAAACGAAAAAAATCCGGCTGCAAAAAATTCAGCTGCAAAAAAAACGAAAAAAAATCCGGCTGCAAAAAAAAAATCGGCTGCAAAAATTTCAGCTGCACAAAAAAAATCGGCTGCAAAAATTTCAGCTGCACAAAAAAAAAAGAAAAAGAAAAATTCAGCTGCAAAAAAAAAAAAGAAAAATTCAGCTGCAAAAAAAAAATAAAAAAATCAGCTGCAAAAAAAAAAAAACAATTCAGCTGCAAAAAAAAAAAAAAATTCGGCTGCAAAAAAAAAAAATCAGCTGCAAAAAATTCAGCTGCAAAAAGAAGTTCAATGTCAAAAAATTCAGCTGCAAAAAAAACGAAAAAAATCCGACTGCAAAAAATTCAGATGCAAAAAAAAAAATTCAGCTGCAAAAAAAAAGAAAAAAATCCGGCTGCAAAAAATTCAGCTGTAAAAAAAAAAATTCAGCTGCAAAAAAAAAATTCAGCTGCAAAAAATTCGGCTGCAAAAACATAACAAATCAGCTGCAAAAAAAAGTGACTGCAAAAAAAAAAAAAATCAGCTGCAAAAAATTCAGCTGCAAAAAAAAAAAAAAATCAGCTGCAAAAAAATCTGCAGTAAATGTGTTGACCTTTTGGTGAACTCAAGCCAAAGCAATCTACATTTGATGCAGCTTCTAGCCAATGAAATTAGCTCATTTTTGTACAGGAAAAATTTAAGTTTTTCCGCCAGCCGCCTCTTCCGGATCAAACCAAGAGCCTTGGCAGGCGGGGGTGCTGCACTAGCTGTGATCGGATCAGTTATTTTACTCAGTCTGATCAGATGAACAATTCTAATGGCTGTCTGTTAGTAGTTACCTGACGTTTTGTAATCATATCTATTTACCAAGAAAATCTCATTCAGCTTCATTTTTCCTGGAACAAAGCTACGCCCAACCGTTGTCAGTGACCAAAGAAGCTCATTTCATTGGCTAGAAGCTGCTCGACTACATCGAGTGTAGATTGCTTTGGCTTTAGTTCACTAAAAGGTAAAAACATTTGCAATCTAATTTTTTGAAGGTCACTTCAGTTAAAATTCAGCGTAAGGAATTCAATATGTAAAAAAATAGTGTTTAAAATTTGGTGTACGAGAAAAAGGCAGATTCCAATGAGACCGTTTTTCTTCCATATTTATCGGCCTGCTTCCTGTTTCTGGTCATGTTTAATGTCTTAATGTTGATTTATCAGAATTATTCTTTAATATCAGCTGATCTGGGTCTCTGAAGGAACCAGATCAGCCTCCAGATGAACTGTGGTCCTCATGCAGCCCTCTGAACGGCCACCAGGGGGCCTCAGCAGCACAGGATGTCCTCTGGCTCCTTTAAAGCTCTGATCTCCATCAGGAACAACTGATGAACCGAAATATTCTCTGAGTCTCTGAGCTGAACTGATCTCCTGGTTTCATCATCATAGCTTTTCGCCTCATTAATAACATTTTTCCATAAAAATCTTTGATTCTTTCACCAAAAGGAGATGCTGAAATGCCAAAAAATCTAAATGCATTTTCTGTTGTCTGGAAGTTTGTTTTTTTGCAACCATGATAATTTAATATCAAGTTAAATTAATGTAAAACAAATACAGATAAATTATCAAAAATGTGTAAAATACAGGTAGATAGAAATAATTTTATGATATTTTATCTCTTTGTTGATTTATTTTAATATTGTTTTTACGTAAAGAAAGGGTTATGATAAAATGTTCTTGTCAATAAGCTGAATGTTTGATCTGTCTTTTAATATTTAAAGTTTATAAAACATGAAATGTATCAGTTTTTAGTGGCTTTTTTATGAATTCACCTGAAAATGATGCAGATTTTCTGGATCTGATCCCAGCTGACAGCCTGGAGCGCCCCCTGCTGGTTGCTCTCTTATCGAATCAGAAACCGTCTCGGTTCAGAACTTCATGCTGGAGGTTCTGATTCTGTTCGGACAGTTTAAGTTGCACTCGATTGTTGATTTGTATTCCGTTTGTGAGTTTGTAAATACTTCTTTTGGTAAAGTTTT